CGGACCCTTGCCCCGAAAATAAGTGTTGGGGGTCGACGAGAAGTATAGACTGATTTCAAATACCTTCAAATTTAAGACTAAAGTTTGTATGGACTGAACTCCCAATCATATAGTCGAGTATATGACAAAATTACATCATACAATAGCAATATTACATATATCACGATTTTACAGTTATAATAATAAAACTTTATGTTACCTAAAAAATCCCCCCACTTAAACTTCTTGCATTGCGCTTAGGCAAACTATAAATGCAGCGAAGTACAACAAAGTTTAAGATCCAATGCAACAAACAATACAACAAATGCTGTCATATACTCGACTCATACGTATGTAATACAAATGACGATATATTTACAAATAATCATTATTTACATAAATATTAACAAATAAAATGTTGACAAGTAACCATTATTTACAGAAATCTTGACAAATGAAATATTTACAAATAATCAGTATCTACATAAATACTTACAAATAGAATATTTACAAATACATTACAACATACAATATGATTACAATATTTACAAATAAACAAACAAATGAAAAGGAAAGCATGCAAAATGTGGCCACCGGCCACGTCTCAATTTTATTTTGATTCCCTAACGATAAATTTAAAGAAATGAAAACGAATAAATTAAATGTGGTCATTCGACCACAGCTCATTTATTGAGGCCCTATAAGAATTTAAAGAAAATTAAAAAAGATGAAAGGATGTAAACCTCTGAACAAACCTAGCGCTTCCATGCGCTGCGTCGTTGCTGTCGAATTGTTGAAATAATTTTGATAATTATTCACCATAATAATTTAATATTCCATCGTTGTCGTTGTTTTATAGTTGTAATAATCCACTTTATAACCATTGTAATAATCAATAAATATTGTAATTGTAATATGAATAAATAATAAATTGGTTCTTCGCCCTCTTGAAGGGCTGGCGAACATCCCTCGCTATCGAAATAAATCCTGAAAATGGGACAATATATGTTTATTGTTAAGAATAAATGAGTATAAAACGAAGATAGATACTTAGACATTAGATACAAGCCGGATCATAGGCTGGCTCAGGCTCACAACATCAATGATGTTGTATGTTGTGAGCGATATCATGAATAAATACTTGACCATAAAGTATAACAATAGCCGAAACAAATTTCAAATGATGAATGATAACTGATTGTAAATACTCACCATTTATGAAATTCGTTAATGACTGAAAGCCCTACTGAAGGGCATTTTCTTCGCGTCTCAGCCATCTTAAAACAGATTCATTTATCAAAGAATAACAGTCATCACTAGTTATGACAAATCAACACGCCATAATATAACAATCACCAAACAATATCGAGTCAATAATGCCACTAAGCATCCAACAAAACCATGTTACGTAATTATTACCCTATGCCATCAGATGAATCAGATGAATTTCGATACGATTAAAAGCTTGATGCAGTTCTGATTCAAAATTCACATGATCCGATGAATATCAAATCCTACACGACAATCTACTCGCCTCACAACAACGCACCGCACGTACAAACATTAAAGTGATGATGAGTAGAAGTGCCACGAGAATACGAACACATCAATGAAAACAATCTTACCTATACAATATACATGATCGCCACGAACCGAAACAATGCCTCTTATATGTGATACACAATTGCTGCAATCTAGTCAGTAACATTATACAATTGACCTGCTTATAGTCTATCGCGCTGAAATGCACAGTTGCACAGAATTTTCGAGAAAGTTGATCAAAATTTGAGCGAAATTCAAATCGGAAACGTACCAAAGGAGTTGCATAAAATAGGCATTGAGAGATCGATATACTTAGGCGAAATGAAATTGAGATTGGGACACATATTTCAGTGATATTTTCAAGTACGAATATTGACAAATATAAACAAAACGTGGACAAAACATATTACTAAACTTTCAAGCTTAACTAGGGCTCTAACCAGAATCACTGGAGGTCGTATAGGAATGATTTAACAAAATCAACGAAATATCAATGTGAAAATGATTTGAAGAATTAAACTGCCCTCATGTACAAGAACTGCAATGAATAGGACGCCAAATCAGAAGCAGAGCAAAAAAACTTCCCAGTGCATTGCGACTTTGTTCATTCACTGTCTAAGTTCGAGCTAACTTCCAGGAAAAGTATCCGCGAAACAGCAAATCTGAAACATTTAGTGTCATGATTCGATTAAATCTAATTTGAAATGTGTCTTGCAGAATCCAATCTATTTGATGGTCATTATCAGATTTCAAGTTAAACGCTCAGTTGAGGGCACAGGGCATGAGGATCAAATGGCCAATACAAATTAATAAATCCGAATAAATTATCAAGGATTTAATTGAAAATGAACCCATATCAAGGGAATTACCTCGTTTAGGTCGAAGCAGAAACAGAGTTATGGAGCGTGTTGCTTTTTATTTGCATAATTTCGAGCTGAAAGAAATGTTTCAGTCCAAAATCGGCAAGGTTGCGCAACTGATTGCGTGTGTGCATAAACATTTTTTTGATATAAATTGACAGAATCACATCAGAACATTCATTTTGGATATATCTTGAGAGCTGAACGTTGTTGCTCGGTGAGACTCCTGGATTACGACGAGCAAATATTAATTAGAAGAAATTTCTGCACTGATTGAATTCTAGCCACAAAACCTACATTCAGCCACATTATGTTAAACAACTTCGAATGATTCCGAAAGAATTAACGATAAAAATATCCACCGTCTTTGGCTGTCCGATATTGAAGTCCTAAATGAATCATTAGAATCCTGAAAGGAACCATGAAACAATGTGTTAGATTCTAATTAATTTTTAGAGCTTTTCCTTCTGGAAAGGAAAGCTGTGAACATTAATTTCATGTCATTGATTAGTGTTATTAATAATTTATGAAAATTAATTTATGTTATTTGTGACATATGAAAAAAAATTATCCGTTGACTTGCATCGGCCATTCGACAGTCCATTCGAAGAAGCATCGTTATGAAGTTACCAACTGAAATGCGGCTGAAAAAAAACTTTTGTTGGCTAGGCAAGAAGAAATCGAATTTTGAAAACCTGCTGAACGGCCTTTGTGGCTTATATGGATAAATTACTTTTATATTCTCATCACAGAACGAATGAATATCAAATGGGCACATACATGAATTCAATTCAGATATTATTTGATATATTCTGATAAAACACTTCAAATAATAACTATTATCCCATTCTCACAAAAGCACTCGCATTTTTTTGCAGCTCTCTCAAAATTCGCTCTCCTTTTAGCAATCGCTTCGAATCGAATCAACTGTTTTAACAACAACCCAAATATCCGTGCTCTTTTGGTCGAGTTAAATTGTACTGAAAGAGTTGAGGACCATTCGAAATCTGTTACAAACGAACAAAATCTGGTG